CAATCACGCGGCACACTTCCCAGCAGCATGCTTGTATTTGAGCTCGAGCACGCGGCACGCGGTGCCGTTTTCAGCAAACAGGCTTACGCTCGGGAATGTGCGGAGTCAACTCAAGTTTTACGGTCGAGTTGCTTTTCTTTCAAGACGTTGTCCAGATTTGTTCTTTCGCGAGGTGGTTGTCCGAATGAACCGACTGAGTGGTCGCGCCCGTTATGCCGCTGTACTGTGTTTGGCCGGCGAGCGCGCCACCGATGGCGCAACCAATGGGAGACCGTTTTATTCTTGGCGGCCGAGCGCGACCTGTGGCGAAAGCAAGAAACCGTCCTGTTCTCGGCGGCCGAGCGCGCAAGCCGTGGCACGACAAGTAGTGGATCGCATTGTTCTCGGCGGCCGAGCGCGTGACGCGTGGCGCGACCCATAGCGGGCCGTGTTGTCTTGTTTGTTTTGCTGTTTCGGCAGCCGAGCGCGCAACCGATGGCGCAACCATTAGCAGGCGGTGGTGTTCTCGGCGGCCAGGCGCGCACCAATGCTTGGCCGCTGCATCATCGGCGGGCGAGCGCCCAACCTACGGCGAACTCTTGGCGGTGCGGCCCAAGCGGCGAGCTGTCTTGGTGAATTCCTTTGTTCCTTATTTAGGTTGTCTTTACCATCTTGGATGCCATATCGCGCTCCACCCTTTTCCAGCAGCGCACTGATCGCCCCTGGAGGCTTTCAACCCTTCGCGGATGCACGCGCCTGTGGTCCCAGGAGGGTCCCTCTTCCTTTCCCCCTTCTGGTCGGCGCGTGCTACGCTCACTCTGGTCTTGGCCCTCCTCCCACTTCTCTTCCTCTTCCTCGTCCCCTGTATGATTTCTCCAGTTTCTCCTCCCCTTCTTTTGTTCCTTCTCCTGCTCCTCCGCGTGCTGTCGGCAGGTGGTGGCCACGAGCTTGCTTGCCAATTCTCTCAAGACCTGGCATCGCTCGGACGTGTGCATTTTCTTCTCGGCGAGAACCATCGAGGAGCATCCTTGATCATTTGGCGAAAAAAACCACGCACGAAACCGAAACAAACACAGGGAACGGACGTCCGAGCGATGGCGAGAAGAGGGAAAGGAGGATGGCAAGGCAGGAGTAAGAGGGAGGGGGGGGAGGGAGATGCTTGGGGCAGGAGGGAGAGGCGTTTTCTCGGACGGCGACGTTCGGAAGGAGGAGGAGGAGGAGGAGGAGGAGAAGGAGGAGGAGGAGGCGGAGAAGGAACAGGAGGAGGTGAAGGAGAGGCAGAGGTCGAGAACGACGAGAGGGCCTGGGGTCCTCTGCGGGCCGCGTTGAGTGCCCGTGGGGCTCATGGGCCCCTTGGATCCCATGGGCGTGCCGAGGGCTCCTAAGTCAGGCCCATGGGCCCCCGTCATATGCCGGCTCCTTCGGGGGGTGCGTGGGCCTGAACCCCCCCTCTCCTCCTCTTCCTCCCCCTCTCCCCCTCCTCCCTCCTCCTCCTCCTCCTCCTCCTCCTTCCTCTCCGCTCCTCCTCCTCCTCCTCCTCCTCCTCCTCCCCCGTTCGACTGAGAGCCTCGTGAGGCTGCGCGGTGCAGCTCTCGCCAGTGCCCCCTGCAGGGTGCCGGACGTCCGACCTCCCGTGCAGGCCTCCGCGCTCCCTCGGCCCCTGGGCCATCCGGGCGTCCTTGTGGTCTGGTGGGCCCCCTGGCCTACCTTATTCAGGAGGGGAAAAAACACACAGACACAATTAATCGTTGATTTCCCAGAAAATATAGGAAAATATGGGAAGTGGGGGGGAAGACAAAAACCTAGAAAATATGGGGAAATATGGGGGATCATTTTATTTGTGTGTATTTATTTGTGTGTCCCAGTTCCCCTTCACTTATGTCAGAGCGTGAATTACCTACCCCGCTTTCGCTTCCAGGCAACACCAAGTCTTTGGTTCGTGAATTGACTGCAGGCGGTCCAGCGGGAATCCTGCCCGAAGCTTCAAAAAATCTTCGGCCCGAAACTCAAACTCCAAAAAAGTGTTAAAGAATCTTGAATGGGAAACTCAAAATCCGAGACAACCTGAGAGAATATCAAACACCAAACCTGGGGAAAACTTACACACATAAGAAACTACAGGAAATCTTGAAGCCGAAACCTGGGAAAAACTCAAACCTTCAAGAAACTTAGAAAAAACCTGAAGCGGAAACCCGGAAAAAAACTCAAACCCGGAATGTTTTTAGAGTTTGTTTTCAAAGTTTTTTCCAGAGTTTTTTGCAGAGTTTTGCCAGAGTTTTTTAGAGCTTTCAGTCGTTTAGAGTTTTTTCCAGAGTTTTTTCCCGAGTTTGTTTTAAGAGTTTTCAGTCGTTTCGAGTTTTTTGTTTCCAGAGTTTTCCCAGAGTTTTTTTTCCAGAGTTTGTTTAAAGTTTTTAGCGTTTTGTTTTAACAGCTGTTCCAAAGTTTTTCCGGAGTTTTTCCCAGGTTTCGGCTTAGAGATGTTCCAGAGTTTTTGTTTGGTTTGAGTTGTTTTTTTCCAGATTTGAGCCTCAGGGTTTTTCTTATGTTTTTGTGGGTCTGAGTTTTTCGCAGGTTCGGTGTTTGATTTTTTTTCAGGATGTCGACCTCCCCAGGTTTTCGTTTCAAGATTTCCTCGTGTTTTTTTCTGGTTTGGTTTTTTTGGCCCGAAGTGGTCGTGGACCGCCTGTAGTCGCAATTCACGAACCAAAACCAAGTCATACCACGCGCCTCCTCGTCAAGCGGCCTGACCAGTACAGGCCGTAGTTTGGCATCGTTCGGTATCTCTTGGAAGCGAGGGTGGTCAAAAGCGAGGTAGGTTCGTTTTCCCCCTATTATGGCCCCTCCGGTGGCCCCGTCTTGGGCAGCCTGACCGTCTTGGCGGCGCGCTGGGACTCGGAGGCTGCGCCGTGGCGCCTTGGGAATTGCGAAGGGCCCGAAGGTCGTCCTCCATGGGTGCTGTTGCGGGCAAGATTCATATCCATATCCAGTGCCTCTTGGACTTTTTTGGAAGCGGCGCCACGAGGCCGAGGCGCACTGGATATGGGTAAACATCGGGCCTCTAGGGGGCACATTTATCCATATCCAGTGCGTCCCGGGTTTCTTGGGAAGGGAGCCCGAGACTCCATACGGTGGTGGATATGGACAGAAGTATTGCCCGCATCTGTTTGGGTTGCCTCATTCTTGAAAGCCTATTTTCGGGTGTCGTGGGGCCTCGTTTGGAATGCATCATACCGCGCACGGCTTCCGTGCTGGCGCGTGTTCCGCCTTCTTTGTGGCCTGGCGGGCGTTCCGCACAATTTCCAGAAGTTGATCCCCCATGTCCGCAACATTTCCAGAACTTACTCCCAACATGGAAACTCAATAGGTTGCGCCATGGGTTGCGCGCTCGGCCGCCGAGAAGAAAACCACCTGCCGTTGTTTGCGGCACAGGTTGCGCGTTCGCTAGTCGAATAAAACGCCCGCCTCACCTGTGTGACTAGTCAGTCAGTTCAGTGAGCCAGTTACCTCGCGTGCGGCAAATTCGGGCTACCCCGAAAAAATGATAACCGTGAGGTCTCATTGGCACCCGGAGGAGTTGACAATCGGATTCTTTTACATTCACGGTTGCCACTGGAACACGTGGTCGCACATTATTTGCAAGAGTTGTTGCGGGTGTGTACGCATGCACGTATGCAACATTGCGTGAATATGTTTCGAACCGTAACGACCGAGTCTCGAATCCAGAAGTCACCAAAAACGTCCTAGAGCCAGGCGAGACAAATTGCGTTATTACGGCCCGAGAGTTTTTTTGCTTCATGGTTCTCCCCTCACCCCCGCCCGAGACGACATCTGATTCCGATTGGGGCTTTGCTGAGGCCTTCCTGGCCGAGGCTCTCGAACAATCCTGGGCTCATCCAGAGAGGCAGCGTCCCCCTCCCCCGCCACCCCCGGACACACACTCCTCCTCTCCTCCTCCTCCTCCTCCTCCTAGTCCTCCTCCTCCTCCTCCTCCCCTCTCCTCCTCCTCCTCCTCCTCCTCCTCCTCCTCCTCCTCCTCCTCCTCCTCCGCTTCCTCCTCCTCCTCCCCCTCCTTCTCCTCCTCCTCCTCTTCCCCCTCGAGTCATGCAAACAAAAAACGCGGACGGGATGTTTTTCGGCCTCCTGGGGCCCTTGCCAAGCCTCGGGGCCATCGAAAAGCGACTCGGAGTGAGAAACTGGTCATGGGGGAATGTGTCGAGACCTTTGAGGGCCTACGTTTTGAAAAAATCTTGATGTTGGGGGTCTCGGCCTGGATCTCGGAAATCGAATTTCCTGTGCGGCAGGCTGCCAGTGACCCTAGGGGTGTCGTTCAATCCGCGGGACTGGCGGTGGCAAGAAATTGCTGGAGGCAGAGTCGTTCTGAGTAGGTGAAAGTGGCGATCGACATTTGTTGCGCGCATGTACCAGTTGGTTGAGCGCAAAGAAGTAGCTGGCGCGGGGTCAGACCAGGACGGCGGGCATAGATTATTCCGCCGACCCCGCGCGAGCAATGTTCTGGTTGGGTCGTGGCCGGCGGCTTTTAGGGCGTGGTGTGCCTGATGTTAATCCGTCGATCGGTCATTTCGGAGGGCTCCGCTCGGCAAGTGAGAGCGGTCTTGCATTGATGATTTGTCTGGGCCCTACAGCTCTGGATGGCGCAGAGGGCCAAGGCTGGGGCCAGGGTTTGCTTCAAGTGGCTTCCATCGTTACGCGAGCGCGTGCGTCATAGTGCACAGCGTTGGTTGGGCAGTAGCTTCGTAGTTTCTTGGTGTGCTGCTGTTTTTCGGCTCTTTCGTTTCTTGTGTGGGCCCCGTGCTCGATGCATGCGTTACGGATGTCTGTGTCGTGCTGGCGTTCTTCTTCACATCCGAATGAAGCAGTCATGCAGTTACACTGTGATGTTGGTCTGTCCGCCCCGTCAACGTTCCGCTGTTGTCTTCCTGTTTGCGTCTACTTCCTCTTCTGGCGCGTGCGCTCTTGCGCCGTGTCCCGTGGCATCCCCGGTTGGTCCGAGGCCTCTTGTCTGACGTCGTGAGGCCATCGGGCCATCGCCTCTGCTGGCGAGAGAGAGAGAGAGAGAGAAAAAAAAAAAAAGAATAATAATAATAATACAAAGAAGAAGAAGACGAAGAAGAAGATGAAGAAGAAGAAGAAGAAGAAGCGCGGCCCTGAAGTGGGGGCTGCCACAGCTCCAGGAACGCCCCGGGGCTCCCCGCGCCCGCTGTCCCCAGTCCGAGGGGGGCTGCGGCGCGGCCGCCCCCAGGCCCGCGGCGCGGCGCGGCCCGGCCTCTCTGACCCGGGGCCTCCTCCTCCTCCTCCCCCTCCTCCTCTCCTCCCTCCTCCTCCTCCTCCTCCTCCTCCTCCTCCTCCTCCTCCTCCTCCAGGGGCAGCGGGATCGGCACCTTTCCCTCCTCTTGGGCCCCGTCGCGCGAAGCCGGCGAGAACAGCTTCGCGCCGGCCGCCCCCAGGGGGGGGGGGGCGTCGCGGCGCCGCCGGCGGGCGGGCGCGGCGCCGACCCCGGCCCGCGCCGCGGGAGCGCCGAGCAGCCGTCGGTTTCGGGGCCTCTTCCCTGTCCCTCGCACTCGGGGCCTCCTCGTCCCCGCCGCCCTGCCCCACGCCATCGTCGTCCCCCTCCTCCGCGTCCTCGTGGAGCTTTCCTCGTCCCCGAGCCCGTGGCACCCCGACGGATCTGCGGCGGCGCCCTCGAGACTCAAGGCCTCCTGGTCCTCTTTCTCCTCCGCAGCCCCCTCCTCGTCTTCGTCGCCCTGCTCGTCATCATCGCCCTCCTCCTCCTCGAGCTCTCCTCCGCCTGCTCCTCCTCGAGGTCCACGCTGCCGATTCGGCGGCGATTGGCTGGTCGGACGTCGCTGCGGTGATGCATCGTGTCCCTCCGTCCTAGCGCAGTGCTAGCATCAAAACGTGGGGAGGGGTGGTGGGTTACTGAGTCAAGGATGCGCAGCTCCTCAGGTGGTGCGTCTGGGACTGTCCTGGGGAGCGCGATTATCCGAGGCATTGTTGCGAAGGCCTTACGACCAGTGCCGCCGAATCTGAAGACGACGGCGCTGACCACGACGAGGTAGACGGAGGAGGAGGAGGAGGAGGAGGAGGAGGAGGAGGAGGAGGAGCTGCACGAGAAGGACGCAGATGACGACGCACAGGAGGTGGAGGAGGTGAAGAAAGAGAAGGAGAAGGATGAGAAGAAGGTGAAGGAGGAGGAGGAGGAGGAGGAGGAAGATGAGCAGGAGGAGGGTGGTGATCATGTGGACCAGGATGGGGATATGGAGGCAGAGGTTGACAGGGGGGCGGGCTGAGCACTGGGGTCCCGGGGAGTGCAGGGGGACGTGGAAAGGAGAAAGATGACGGGGTTTGGTCGAGGATAGTGCGGACTAGGGCCAGGAGGGGTATATGGAGGAGGGATATTTGCAGAGGGGGGCGATTTGGGATGGGGGCCCTCTTGGACGCTCTCGGAGACCTTTTGGGGCACTCTGGGCTTGTCCTGGTAGTTTTCCAGCCCCAGAACCCCCAGGGGAGGATGCGTATCTGCCCCCCCCCCTCCACCCCCCCCGACGGGGGAGGGATCAAAGGGAAGGGGCTTCCCTTCGAACCGATTACGACATTGCTAGGTTCTTCTGTCGCTGACAGGCTTGACGGATGTCAGGGTCGGCGGATGTCGGTTAGGCCCTAGAAGGTTTTTTGTTTCTTGAACGACACTGGCGGAACCCGACTCGATCGGATAAACCCCTCACACATGCCGACAAGGTCGGCCGATGTTTGCCACTGGTCGCCCGTGTATATGCTCGCCCGTAGGCAGCTCGGCTATGATTTTCCAGCCCCCCTGTTTTTGGACCCCTCTCCTGGCTCTTGGGTGGATTCATGCCAGCTGACGATCACCGCATTCTACTCCAACGTTTGGCGAGGGCCCAGACGCTCCAACCTCCTCCTCTTCCTCGAGTTCTCTTCGTCCTCCTCCTCCTCAACCTCCTCCTCCTTCTCCTCCTACTCCTGGAGCTATCCTCGTCCTCGAACTCACCTCGCCCCTCGGTCCCCCAAACCCGCCGTTCCATGCAGACCCCCGCGGCGTGCAGGCGGCGTATCGCGCTCGCGGTTCGTGGCCGGCACCCGCACGCTGGCCGAGGCCCCCGCGGTTGCGAGGTAGAGGGACATGAGGAGGAGGGGGAGGAGGAGGAGAAGGAGGAGGAGGAGGAGGAGGAGGAGGAGGTGGAGGAGAAGGAGAGGAGGAGGAGGTGGAGGAGGAGGAGGAGGTGGAGGAGGAGGACCCAAACGCCACAGCTTCTTGCTCAGGTTGGTCTAGCCCAAAGGAGGACGAGGAGGAGGAGGAGGAGAAGGAGGAGGAGGAGGAGGGGAGGCGGAGGAGGAGGATGAGGAGGATGAGGAGGAGGACGAGGAGGAGGAAGAGGAGAAGGAGTAGAAGAAGGTGGGGGCGAGGAGGAGGGGGGCGATGAGGCGGAGGGAGAGGAAAGCCGGAGGAGAGGACGGATGGAAGAAACACCGGCAGGAGTAGAAGAGGAGGGCAGGCAAAGGATGGGGAGGAGGGTGAGGATGAGACGAGGGAAACGGATGCACGAGGCGGAAAGAGGCGGAGGAGGAGGAGGGGGGTGGAGGAGGAGGAGGAGGAGGAGGAGGAGGAGGAGGAGGAGGAGGAGGAGGAGGGGAGGAGGAGGAGGAGGGAGGAGGAGGAGGAGGAGGAGGAGGAGGAGGAGGAGGGGGGGGGTGGAGGAGGAGGAGGAGGAGGAGGAGGAGGAGGAGGAGGAGGAGGAGGAGGAGGAGGAGGAGGAGGAGGAGGACCAGTGTAATCCCAAGAGTCATCAACGATGTTGGAATGAACCGTCCCTCCAAGCTCCCTCTTCACAGGTACCTACAAGGGTTCACCTCCGCTGAGGGAGCTGCCTCGTTGGACGACAACCGCTTGAAGACCCGGCTGCATGATCTAACATGTGCTCTCGGGATTCGAACGCCACTGATCAACCTGGCTGTTGCATCTTGACTGTCCTGAATCGCGCCAGAACGCCGTTCCTGGGGATTCAACACCGCGAATCAACGTACCTGTCGCGCCCTCATAATCCTGGATCTTTCCAAGACACCATGTCTGGTACGTTGACCATGGCAATACGTGGAGCTCTTGCAGTTTTTGTTTAACGAGTATGCGCGGCGCTAAGGCGTGCGCCGCATTTTGAGCACCACCCGCCCTCCATCCGTGAAGTTCTTGCACATTCACTGATGAATTTGCGCGGCGCTAAGGCGAGAGCCACATTTTGAAAACCATCTTCGCCCACCCGTGAAACTATTGAAATGTTTAGAACAAATGCGCGGGACGCTAAGGCGAGAGCCACAGTTCGAAAAGGAACCGCCCTCTATCCGTGAAACCCTTCAAATGTTTAGAGCGAGTCTGCGCGGCGCTAAGGCGAGAGCCACAGTTTGAAAGGGAACCACCCTCAATCCGTGATTTTGTTCTGCGAATTTCAAAAAAAAAACGAATGTGCGCGGCGCTATGGCGAGAGCGACATGTTGAAAACCACCCACCCTCAATCCGCGAAGCTCTCGCAGATCTTTGAAAAGAAGGTGCGCGGCGCTAAGGCGAGAGCCACATTTTGAAAACGACCCGCCCTCCATCTGTGAAACTGTTTCCAAGTTTTAAGCTCCAGGGTTATACATGACGAGGAAGTCTCAGGTGAAACGCCCAGCCCGCCCTAAACACTGGCCTCGGGATGCGACAGAGAGAAGTTATGCAGAAGGAGAAGGAATGGAGGATGAGGAGGAGAATGAGGAGGATAATGTGGAGGGAGGAGGGAGGTGGGGGAGGATGAGAAGAAACAGGGAGTAGGAGGAGGAAGAGGAGGAGGAAGACAAGGAGGAGGAGGAGGAGGAGGAGGCCTCCAGAGGCTACCAGACACCTGACTCGTTCCGCGTTCGGTCCGCGTTAGCACCTGGGCGTGGAGTCAACCGCACCGGGCCTCCTCGAGGGAAGATGAGGGAGGATGATGAGGTAGGAGGGATGAGAAGTGGAGAAGAGGCGGAGGAGGAGGAGGAGGAGGAGGAGGTCAGGGGAGGAGGGGGGGGACCAGGAGAATCGAGGGCCGCGGGTGGTCTTTCGCCTTGTCGGGCCGTGGAAGCCCTTGGATGCCTCCCCCTCCTCCTCCTCCTCCTCGTCCTACTCGTTCTCTTCCTCCTCCCTCCTTCTTGGGGTCCTCTCGAGACCTCATCCTCCTCTCCCCACCTCACTGCTCCACACCTCTTCCCTCCCTATCTGCTCTCTTCGTCTCCTCTTCCTTTCCCCTGCTCGCGTGGTGGTGGTCGTGGGACGGGAGAAGGACAAGGATGAGGAGGAGCTGGAGTAGGTGGGACAAGGAGGAGGGGGGACGATGATGAGGTGTAAGAGTGGGAGGAGGAAGGAGTACGAGGAGGAGGGAGGATGAAGAGCAAGAAGAGAGGGTTGGATGATGAGGAGAGGAGGAGGAGGGCAAAGAGAAGGAGGAGGAGGAGGAGGAGGAGGAGGAGGAGGAAGCGGAGAAGGAGGACGAAAGGAGGAGAAGGAGGAGGAGGAGGACGAGGAGGATGAGGAGGAGGAGGAGGAGGTAGAAGAGGGAAGGAGGGAAGGAGGAAGAGTAGAAGACGGAGGTCGGAGGAGGCGGAGGAGGAGGAGAAGAAGAAGAATGAGAAGAAGAAGAACAAGAAGGTCGAGCAGGAGCATGACTCATATGACGGCACGGGCGACAACGAGCGCCAGGGAGGAAGAAACGGAGGTAGGACGGAGGTGGGAGAACACGGAGGAGCAAGAGGAGGAACAGGAGGAGCAAGAAGAGGAGGAGGAGGAGGAGGAGGAGAGGAGGAGGAGAAGGAGGAGGAGGAGGAGGAGGAGGAGATTGCTGGAGTTGATCTGAGATATTTGCAGTTTTGGGGCGCTCTATGGGGACCCGAAGGCTCCCTCTCGCCCCGCCCGCTCCCCGAGAAGGTGCTGAGGAGGGTCGAGCACACTGCCCAGCTGGACCTGCAGCAGCTCAAGATGGTGTGCCCACCCCTCTCCGCCTCCTCCTCCTCCTCTCCTCCTCCTCCTCCTACTCCTCCTCCTCCTCCTCCTCCTCCGCTTCTCCTCTCCTCCTCCTCCTCCTCCTCCTCCTCCTCCTCCTCCTCCTCCGCTATCTCCCCCTCCTCCTCTTCCTCCTCCTCCTCCTCCTCCTCCTTCTCCTTCCTCCTCTTCTTCTTCATCCTCCCTCCTCCGCCTCCGCCTCCTCCCCAGACTCCCTCGAGTGAAGAATTAGCCTCACTGCGGAGGGCTCTTCGCTAGGTTCGGCCTCGCGGGGCCCTTGCCGGGCCGCGGGGGCCGTCAGCAGAGCGTCCTGCTTCTGCCCCCAGGGCCCTGCCTGGAGCACTCCCGAGCATGCTGTTGCCGTCACCCGTGTGGCTGCCGACGCCGATGCTCGCGCTCCCCCGATGTTGCTGCTCCTCCAGCTCCAGCTCCAGCACCGCCCACGCTGCCGCGAGCCTGCCCCCCTCCCAACCTCCCCCTCTTGTCCTCTGCGGCCCCCTTCCAACGCTTTCGTGGTCTCCTGCCCATCTCCATCCTCCTACCTCTCTCCATCCTCCTCCTCCCTACCGGAGATTGCCAGAACTGGCCACCGAGAGTTCACCTCGTCCTCCTCCGCCCTTTCCTTCCCCTCGTCCCCCTTCTTCCTCCTGCCCGCCGTGGCCTGGGGAGGAGGAGGGGGAGGAGGAGGAGGAGGAGGAGGAGGAGGAGGAGGAGGAGGAGGAGGAGGAGGAGATGGAGGAGAGGAGGAGGAGGAGGAGGAGGAGGAGGAGGAGGAGGAGAGAAGGATGAGGAGGCGGAGGAGGGAGAGGAGGGGGGGAGGATGAGGAGAAGGAGGAGGAGGAGGAGGAGGAGAAGAAGGAGGGACGAGGAGGAGGAGGAGGAGGAGAAGGAGGAGGAGGTGGAAGAAGAAGAGGAGGAGGAGGAGGAGGAGGCGGAGGAGGTGGATGAGGAGGAGGAGGAGGAGGTGGAGGAGGACAGGGGCAGCAGGAAAAGGAAAAGGGGCAGGACGACTGCTGAAGAGAAGGGGAAGGAGGAGGAGGGGGTGGACTTGGAGGAGGAGGAGGAGGAGGAGGAGGAAGAGGAGGAGGAGGACGAGGAGGAGGAGGAGGACGAGGAAAAAGAGGAGGAAGAGGAGCAGGAGGAGAAGTAAGAGGAAGAGGAGGAGGAGGAGGAGGAGGAGGAGGAGGAGGAGGAAGAGGAGGAAGAGGAAGAGGAGGAGGAGGAGGAGGAGGAGGAGGTTGCCCCAGTCGTCGAACGGGGCATCCTCCGGCATCCTCCTGGTCCCAAGCGTCGGGAAGTCGTTAGGCCCCGCCCGTGCTGGCAAAACACGGCAGCCCGGCCGATTCTCCTCTCTCGCTTCTCTGCCCACCCAATTCCGTGCCCTAGCCAGCTTCGCAACCGGTTATTATGCAGCTTAGTGCAGCACGCCCGCCGCTGCGCCTACGGGGGAAGCACGAAGGCGCGCAGCCGCGACCTCGAGGACGCGTGCAACGCATCCGCACGGAGTGTAATTTCCGCACCGGAGGGCAGGTGGTGCTTCCACCTATGACCAACGTCGGGGGCCACTAATTGCTGGGGTCCAATTCCCCCCCCCCCCAACATATTGCAATCTTAACCTAGTGCAACGCTTGGGCATTTCGGCCACCAGAAAGCCGATCAGCCCCCCAGGAACCCCCTAGAAAACATCGAATCACAACGCGCGAGTTGCGTGTCTCAGTTGTTCACTATGTTGTTCTTTCACTTGTGCCACGCGCGCTTCTCACTTTGCACCCAGACCCTGCTACGGTGGAGCCGTGGCAGCCCATCGGGATCTTAGACGCCTCCAGAAAGGGGCTTCGTTAGTTTTGCACGTGGATTGCGGCGCCCTCGACTATTCCGAATTGTCGGCTAGTCCGCTCCTGCGCAAAACTACCCAAAACAACACTATGCACAAACCAATTATTGTACTATTGTTACGTCCACCGTGATATCCCTCTGTTCTTCTCGATATCGACGCAAATCGAAACGAACCGCACTGTTGACATCCGTCGTACCCGCGCGGCGCATACACCTCCCCTGAAAATATGCACTGAAGTAGGCGGGGGTGCAGCATTGGGAACTACCCCACAACACCAAGGACGTGCTATGCTAGAACGAAGGCGGTGCTATGCTATGACGCTTGTATGTATTGTTTGTCCAACCTGTCACGTATATTTCTCCAGCTGTAGCCTTGCCGCCGCGCTTGCCCAAGCTGTTAGACAGCCTTGTCCGTGTTTTGCCACATGCCCCTTTTATGGATTTGCGCTGTGCCCGAGCAGTCCCAGCGGCTTCGGTGCAGCAGCAAAAAAAATGGAGTTCGGATGCGACTACGGCTTCCAGATGGAGGCGCCCTGGCTGCCAAACTATCTAATGCAGGTGCCCCAGCGGTCAGCGCAACGGGCAGGTTGGCCAAGGAGTATTCTATCGTAGGGATTGTAGATGCTGTTCCAGGAGATGTTTGCGGATCCCCTTTGGAGGGCTCACCGGGCGCGCAGTCCGTTCAAGAAGTTCGAATTTGGCAGGAATACTACAATTTTCCCTTGGATGGGTACACTGTGCTCGCACGCCGCGCTTTCAAGTTCGAGAAGCCCCTTCAAGTATCAGCTTTTTACCCATCGCTCGGCAGTGACCCCGTGGATATGGACCACAATAAAAACTCAGGGGCCCCTTTTTTACCATTTCTATACGTGGACGGTGATGTCGGCTCTCTCAGGGGTCATGTCAATGGAGAGTTGAGTTCGCAGAGTTCGTTGTCAGAGGCGCTCTTGGAGTGGGGGTTCGAAGACGTCAGTTGGGAAAACATTTTGGCCAGTGTTGTCGTGGAGCCAATATCGTGGATGATATTGCACAGGAAGTGGTGTTCGATGCTCTGGCTGGGCAGATGGAGAATACCGATCGATGTTTTCCCAGATTTTCCACCAGGGGACTGGACGCAGGCTCGGGCAAACAAACATGATGAATGCATAGGAGAGGGCTTTCCGAGACTGGATGCCGACATGTTTGATTCTCTTTTAGAAGCGCTTCAGAGATGGCGTCCGATCATTCGATCGGCAGTCGAAGAAGATGATTTTGCTGAGGACTGCACGGGCCGTTTGTAATAGCCACCCCCCGACCTCCTCTTGCCCTTGCCCCTCTTCTTCCCGTTCCCATCCTCTGGGTCTCGCGGACGATGGGGGGAGAGGGGCCGGGGCAAGACGAGGATTGTAGAAAGTCGTGAACTGAGTGGCGTTCGAAGTTCGATCCCTGGCCAGGAAGATCTTATCATGAACACAGCTGCCCGTTTTTGCAGACAGATGAGTTTGGTTCTTCGACGTTCATCGCAGCCACGTGGCGGCCATGCCCAATATTCCAGCAAAACGATCATCAGCAGTATTTTTTTCGAGAGGATGCTAGGATCCCATATGCATATCAAAGATGCAATTCCATCGGCGATGTCAACTATCTTCCCGAATTCTGGTCTATCCGAGCTCTCGCGCCGGGCTGCATATCCAAAGGCCTCGACCATAAGTAGTTCCCACGTGGCTCTTGACATGGCCTATATGGCGATGAGGCCTCTTCGTTGTCCCGGCGGCCCCATGCCACATCCTGTGTATGCTTGGGCTGACTCGAGCCCGCAGAGTGGCAGAAACTGGTTCATGATGATGGAGCGCTCCGGAGAAATGGATCAGATTCTTGATGCTGCGATTGCCTCGGAGTCGCTGGCCAGGAGTCGGCCAGACTGGGATGATCACGAGGAGGCGGAGGAAGCGGATCAGGGCGAGTTTTCAACACACCACCAAGCTCTGGAAGTGGCCCTCCGGACCCATGCGTGCGTTCCTGTCGCGCTAGGGTCTGGAAAAACTGGGTTGGAAGACAAAATCGCGGCCAAGCTACATGCCGATATTATGGAGATGCGCTCTCTTGAGAACGTGAGAGATCATTTATCTGCAACAGTGTCATGGACGACTGACCTTGGCACGGAGATCAGCATGCCAACCTTCAGATCGCTGGACTGGCGAAAGCTACTGCCAGAATGGAGGCTTGCGGGATTACTATCAGCCGACACAGGGTGCGACGACGATGCGACCGATGACGTCATTCAGAGCGTTGCAGACTTGATGGCCAGGACAGAAATACATTGTTCCCAACCCTCGAAGCGAGTGATGGGGCGTGCCGACACGTACCCGAGCAACTAGCAACCAAGCGGACGCAGCCACTGAGGAGAGGAGGAGAGGAGGAGTAGGACCCAACGAGGACCCAACACACAGGAGGCCCCATAGAGAGCTCCACCGAATGCCCCAGTGGCTGCGTCCGCATGGTTACTCGGGCCCATTATGGCACACCGTTCACACGTTCGGTGGTCTACAAGGAGCTCTACCAAGGCCTCAATGGTAACATCCGCATGGTTACTCGGGTCCATTCTGTCACATCCCTCACACGCTCCGTGGCCCCATAGGGGCTCCACCGAAGGCCACAATGGTTGCGCCCGCATGGTTACTTGGGACCATTCTGGCACACCCCTCACACGTTCTGTGGCCGCAGCTCGAGCTCCACCTAAGGCCCCAATGGCTGCGCCTGTATGTTTGATCGGGTTTACTCTGGCGCTCCGTCACACGTTTCGTGGCCCCATCGGGAGCTCCACCGGAGGCCCAAAGGATGCGTCGATGGTTACTGGAGACTATTCTGGCACACCGCTCACACGTTCTGTGGCCCCATAGGGAGCTCCACCCAAGGTCCCTGTGGCTGCGTCCGCATGGTTAAGTTACTCGGGCCCCTCCTGGCACACCCCTTCTGACGATTCTTGGCAGCAACGATCCACTGAAGGCCCCAAAGGCTGCGTCCGCATGGCTGCTTGGGTCCCGTATGGCACACCCCTCGCACGTTCCGTGGCCCCATCGGGAGCTCCACCCAAGGCCTCAATGGCTGTGTCCGCATGGGGTATATTACGGCACCTACCGAAAGCCCAAATGGTAACGCCCGCA